GATTCTTCGTATTAATTATTACCTTTTTTGATAGTCACTCATGATTTACAGTTCAATGGTACATTGATCCTTTCTTCCCGGGATAGCGTCACATTTGCGCTCATTAATATGAATAGGTCTATACTCGTTTGCATGAAAGCAATAAAGGTAATGAAATACCGTTTGAAAATAGTGAAACAAAAATTAGAAGCAAGTTTAACTGAGACAGAAAGGTGTATTTTGAAGATTTATGTGAAAACAAATTGATTGCAGCCAACCTTTCAATAAAAATTCGCAAATATAGACGGTGGCAAATTGTAAATCGGATAAAGCTGGAAGATGGATTTTCAGTGAATATTCACACTTTATTTTTATATCGTATGATTATGTCATCCCTCATGCATTTTCACATACCGGTGTATCGGTCTGAGTACAAGCCAGTGTTGGAGCAAAGGAGGTTGATTCTCAAGGCAAAGACTTTGAACCACAAGCCTTAAGACCAAATCCAAGGCTTAATCATCCAGGTCAAGGCCCTGCATTGACTTGATAAAAACGGTTACATTATAACGAATCATGACCTAATTATCGTCAAATTGGCGGATATTCCGATGGCAGCCGATTCGATGTTTTTTTTTTTTACAGTGGATTAAAATATGTGATAGGTGGTAAGTTCAGTGCATGACGTGCTCAAGACAGTGGCGTAGCTGGCCTGAAAAAAAAACAAGGCTAACAAAAACTTGCTCCAAAAACCACGCTACTGAAAGCTGGCATCCCCCTCCATAAGGTGCTGGTGTCCCACCCCACTAGTAAAATCCTAGCTATACCACTGGTTCAAGATTAGATCATATCATGGCATGGAAATGAGGCATTTTTAATCAGCCTAACATCAGCTCCTCCAACGCAGTATTCTCAGAGACTTGGTCACCGGTCCATAGATCAGAATGATGCCGTTCTACATTCCTAGCCAACATTGTCGGGACACCTGTCATATCAGTACACACACATGTTTAGTTACGCCCCAATCCCTCGCTCAATGTAGTCATGTCCAGCTGGAGCGGAGGCTGGGTTTTGACAGCCAACATTGAGGGGGGGGGGGCCAACGAGATTTGGTAAGGATTGTAAGTCGTCTAGACAACAGATTCAGAGGTATCCCAAACAAGGCAGGCCATTGAGTAATACAATCACATGCCTTCTAATCCACGGGAAAAAACAAGACTTACTGCTCTCCCTTTTTGTGACACACATCAAATAAAACCCATTGTTTTTAGCTGAATTGTTTTTTAGGTTCCGTACAACTTCTGGCAGGTAACCCAGTGACCTTTGAAAGACATTTCTTCAAAGACACGAACTGAAACAGATCTATGAATAAATAACGCCTCTCGTTATGGGCGGAATGGGCCATACCCCCCGGGGGGGTGATACAATGAGAAAGGCAATTCTGTGCTACCGTTGTAGTTTATTTCTTCGACAGAGGGTGAAAAATCCACAAATTGTATCCTGACCCTGAGGTTTCTAAAAAATAAAAAATACTTGCCTTCCCCCAATTTTTTTGCCCTAACGTTGGTTCCAGATCTGTCTCCCCCCCCTCATTTGCTAAATAGAGCAATTCTAGGTCTCACCGTGACGGGTTTACGCCGCTGGTTAAGCTGATGGTAAAAGAAAACCGAATGTTACTTTGGATGTTACTTTTTTGAGCATGGTGAAATGTACAAATATTACACGTTACAAGTCCGCTTTTGCATCATTGAAATGTTCCGTGTTAACTCTATTCATATCCCCAATGCGTGTGATTCTCTTGCACATTCAACTTGAGCACCTGAGAAAAATCATTTTAAATAAATACTACGGGTAGGTGGGTCCGAGCACGTTTCGTCCATTCGTTTGTCGACTTCAATATGAAAATCAGGAATCGAAAATTAAGTATTTTTCGTTTTTTCAATTGAAAAAGGAAATAAAAAGCGGATTGATTTGAAAAACGAAAAAACAGTTCAATTTTTCTTTTGGAGATATTTATTCAAAAATGTCTAAATTATAGCCACCCAAATTACGGGAATCAAAACGTGCCTGTCGTAAAGGATTACAGAGAATTCGTTGCTAAATAAAGTGAATGGAGGAGAAGACAAAACTATTTCCCACACAGTCAATATATATACTATCCACCAGTATTGGGCGCATATAAATTGCTTCTGTTTTGCCAGTTTGCTCACATCTGAAACGGTTCCGCTGTTTTTGGCGCACTGCTCTCAGCCTGTAGGCATCTGGCACCCAGTTTTCGTGTTTACGACTTATTTTTCAGTTGTTGTTTTTCTTGTTCGAATCAAAAAACGAACAAATGAAACGTACATTAACCGAAGTAACTGGGACAAGCCTGGTCATACCGATAATACCAACTCTTAATTAAAAAGCCTGGGCAGAATCCCACCACGACGTTTGCACTGCATTTTTTTCAGGAGCTGGGTCTTTAGGAGTTTGTAGAGTAACTTTTTGCGGTCCTTTTAAGACTAATTTTGTGAAAATTGAACATACCGTTCACTGCAAAAACTTGAGTGTTATATTCAACACCCCGGGGGCTATCAGAAGACTACTGGTGTTAAAATTTTGGAGTTATTTGGTGTTACTTTTAACACCTTCCAGTGCAGTGTAATACCTACAGGTGAGTCGGCACGCTTGTAGACATGAACTTTAATGACCATAACAACAAACCATAATGTCTGATAATTAGTGTTTTTACATGTACTTGTGAAGTTGGAAAAAAAATTGAGCATGACGTCGCCAAGCTCTGTACGGTTGGATCCGCCTCCACCCGGCTGAGATAGGCCACAATAAACCAGCTCTTTTAGGGTTAAATCTCAAAATGTAGTTATATTTTGGCCACCTCCGGACCAAACTCTGCTCTTGACGTGGATTGATTTAGACAAACAAGCAAAAGACTGCACTCTTTTCTCCACATCATTCAATTAAACACTGATTTTGATTTCAATATCGATTTTAAAACAGCTGTGGTGCATTGTTTGGTCGTAACAATGGGTGAGATGCGAGACAATCGACCCGTGGTCTGTTACACTCAGTGCTGCAGTTCTTTAATCCCGAAATACATGCTGATGAAGAAATGTTGAAACCTGTTTTCAGGATATGTTATTGGGACTGTTTCTGTGCTTTAATCGAAGAAGCATGACGGCAGGAAGTTTTTACTTTTTTGTAGTCATGTTAATGTGTTTGTCAACTTCCTTCTCTTGGCAACCTAATATTTTTGGTTCTTCAATCAAGGGGCATAAAGATGTAGATGACAGTATTGTCAACAGTGAATCCCGGCATTTTCTGGAAACAGAAAGAAAGGGAACTGTGGTCACTGCCGAGACAAAACAGAGGTCGGAGCAAGTCCGTGGTCCAGTCCAATTTCCCACAAACATCGGGGATTATAGTGAGGAGGAGATGGGAGGATATGAGTATGATGAAGATGCCTCGTACGAAGATGAAAATGACCAGGGCGATCTTGAAGCGGGGCGGGGCAGCATAGTCGAGGAGGACGAAATGCTCCCGGAGGACTACGAGGGGAACTGGTTGGTCAACGACACGGTAGATGGCAGCGAGGCCAACGAGCTGCGAAACTTCTCCCGGACCAGGCACGGCCAGGAATACATGTTAGAGCCGTCAGAATGGGAGCCGATGGATTTGGATCCACTCAACGACGGCAGTATGCTCGTGGTAACCATGACATCAGACGACTTTGACGCGAGCGTCTATGAGGATAGGATAGTGAGGATGGTCAGTTTCTGTAAGTGAAGCTTTTCAGTTTGGAATGTTTATATTACTGAATTGTCCAAATTCTTTGAATTCTCTGTATCTCTCTAGCTACTCTGTTTCTATGGTATGACACTGTTACCCCTCCTCTCAAGTGGTACTGGTGCAGTTTTGTTTGCGGCTCGAAATAAGTCTCACTTGGAGAGATGAAAAGTTTTGATTTGATTAATAGGTCATGGCAGCGCACATACTTTCATCCTACACGGTATAATTTGTCATAGGTTTAAATCCTTTTTGCAGGATGTCGTGCTACGGTCGGGAATTTGTCGATTTAGGGTACATCTGAACACATCATATCTTACGACGTGGATGGTACAAGAATAAATTCACCCTTAACGATGAATGATGCAAGACAATATTTATGAATTAAATGTATTTAAAAAATGTACGATGGAAGTACATTGGCCTACATTCAGCGACAAATTACTGTGTGAGGTGAAATTGAACAGTTTTCGTCAATTTACCACAGTCAAACAAAACGAATGCACGTATATCTCATTTTGACAACTACCCAAACGGGACAGAGAAAATGAGGTAGGCCTATTAAATATTTGAAACCAAAACAGATGCGAGCTGAATCCTACAAAGCAATATGCACATTTAGCAAAATCACAGGTCCAATTGTACGAGAAACAGTTTACACTCGTCCGAGACTCCTTATGTACAGGTTATCGATCAGAGTTACACAGACAAGAACATCTGTGACCATAAGGCCACGTGTAATAAAATCAGAGCTACTGCAAAACAAAAGCACACCACGGAAACCAGATGACAGTTATCGTGCGTGTGTTCAACTTGCCTGCAATAGCTGGGTTAACTACTATCGGGAAAAATCACTGCGGACTTGTCTTCATCCAAAGCTGCAGTTTCACGCACGGGTGGGATTGTTAGATCGTGCAGTATGACGCGCGTGACGAGTCCCGTCTTCCTCATCTGCGCTCTGCTAGTGATAACTTCCGTCCAATCCAAGCTGACCATGCACCAGCAGCATATGAAAATGCACCAGGAGCTTATGAAGAAGAAACAGCAGGCAGCAGGGACGGCTGCTAAGCAGGAGGGTTCTGCCGTGACCCCGAGCCCGGCAACTGACGCAGCACCTCCGAATGCAGAAGCACGGGCGGCTGGTCGAGGTTCCGCCAATAAGAATCAGCCTGTGACAACCCCTGAGCTGAATATAAAAAATGTCCCGGCAAATGCTGATAGGGACCCCAATAAGATGACCAGATCAGAGGGCACTTCAAAGGCGTCCAGCGCAAGACACTTTAATCAAAAACTAGCATCGAAGGAGACAATCGGTGCTCCTGGAGGTACAAATCAGAAAACCACGACCGAATCTTCGCACCAACCCAAGAAATTGGTTGAGACGGTTACCAGAGGCATCAACCTTGAGAACACAAAGCCGTCGAAAGAACCTCACCTAAGCATCCTCTCTGCGAAAAACCTGGCATCAACAGAGGACCTGACAGGCAAACAGGAGGGAAAACCGGTTACACCTGACGATGAGGTGATCTTTATCGATGGCAGCGCTGAGGATACCGGTAAGATTGACGGGGGACGGGTCAAGACCTACCCTGACCCGGATTTGGACAACGAAGATGGGGGGCCTGGCGACAGGGAAGGATCAATGGAGGGCGATAATGATGATGAGGATTATTCCCGCGAGGATTACGTTGACCAGAGACAAGAAGAGGCAGAGCGCGAGGCCAGGTCAAGCCTTGACGAAGAATTAATCCATTCCCTGAGTTATGAAGACTTTGAAGATGCCCTCTACGATGAGAAATACAACATGTTACATTTTGGTAACGTATCCCTCAATGAGGCCGCACAGCAGTGGACGAAATTATTCTCTCTTAGTGTACATGTAGACGCAACTCAAATTCGTATACATTCATAGTTAGTTGATTTCACTCTTGGAAAAAAGTCTTTTCAGTGCATTTTTTCCCTTTGGTTTCAGCTTATGAAACCATGTCTGATCTGAGCACGGCACTCCGCGAGCAGGGTCGAAATTGTGAATTTAGAATATCATGTTTACATTGCTTCATGTTGAAAAACTGTCAGAGGCTTAGTGGACTCAAGCCATTCTGTAAATTGAATTTGAAAAGAGTGTATAAATTGCGCTCCTCTAGTGTAGCGCAGGTGGTTTTCATAAAAGCAAAAACTAATATAATTTCCCTTTTTTGAATGAAGTGGTCTAGATAAATACTCGAACAATGTATGCGTGTGTAGTATGAATAATTGTGATCCCAAAACATACGGCACAGATCCCATTGTTCCCATGCGGCCGTTTATAATGCATGAGCGAAACAAAAGACTGGCGCCGCTGTCACGTGTCTCTTCGTAGCCAATACCGTTAGGATGACCGCTGCTTTCAGCTCTAAATCTGAAAGAGTGAAACTAGGGCCAAGACGATTTAGAGTTAAAATCACCCTCAATTTAGATTGAAATACTCTGTCTAAATAATCACTTCAGCCGGAGCTCGCGTGAAACTCGATCTTTTCTATTGAAGAAATTTCACTCTAAATGTCTGGTCCCTAGTTTCCGACTGGGGAAGTGGATTTTTACTCGAATCGACTGAGTTTTCACTCTGAAAAGAAAGAGCTCACCAGGACAATCCTTGCGTAAAATGGGTTCGTGATAGCAAGTAAGGAATTTCGTACTGAAATGGGTAATTTAGTAAAAACAAAATTAGTATGCGCTCTAAGTGTACAGACATAGGCCGGGCGAATAGTGTTTTGACGTAAGGTATAATTGCTTCGTTACACCTATAGGGTGTTTAGAAAACAGGAAACAGGACAGAAGAATGAAATCTACTGGATGTTAAGAGGGATTTACATTCAACGTCATATTGCTAAGAAAGGTTTTCGGTGCAGTTTTCGTTGTTTAGTAGGGAGAAAATGACACCTGTTCATAGAGTTTAAAAAGTATGAGAAGGCCTACCCCTTATCTTCGATGCATTCAGTGCACATGAATGCAAGTGCACCTTTTTTTTGGCCAAACAACTGCGTTGGCTGATAAAAACGAGCGTTGCCTACACCCAGAACATCGACTCCGGAAAATTTGGCAGTGTCCGGTTTTCAGCCTCTCTCGTTGTCATTCTTCCATTCCCTTACAGTCTCCGCAGGATGTGAAGAATGTGAGAAGTTCCGACCCCATTTCCGGAAGGCAGCGAAGAAGATTTGGCTGACAGAGCAAGAGTCTGAAGAGAACGTGGAGGTGATCTTCTACGAGGTGACGGACCCACAGCTACTGGTTAGGTTCAACCTCAAGGTTTTGCCAACCGTGTTCTTCTTCAGGAGCGGCGTGCCGATTTTGTACGAAGGTAGAACCTCTTGAGATTATTTCGATAGTCGAAAGCAAAATAGGCCTATATTCTAAACCGCGTCTCACCAATGCAACGTCCAATCAAAAAAATCCTAAACAGTAAAAGCCACCAACATTTTACACTTGTCTTTGTATTTAGTTATCAATCCAAGTCAAGCAAGCCGAACCAAACCAGTTTAGTTATAAAAACAAAACAAAACAAAACAAAACAAAACAATAAACCCTCAAAACAACAACAACAAAAACACTGCAAATTAAGTCTGTACGTTTTGGTGCCAGCTCTGCCCAAGGATTTTATTGAAACAGTCGTCACCCAACAGACCTGGTCAGTAGCGTAAATTGGGTTCATGGGGTAGGGGGTTGAAGGGGACGAAAGAGGAACATTTTTCATCCTTAGAAAATACTCATTGCCCCCAATAAGTAGCAGTAGGCCTAACGTTTCTAAAATCCTTTCTAAAAGCCACTGGATTGGACCTAGCCACTTAACATCAATCGGAATTTAACGCAAATCACTATAATGTAGGGCCTAAAGCGATAGTATTTTTTTTTACATTCATCGGAAACATTAAAATGGCGGCGGGATTGTGAGACTGTGTATGTAATACTAATAGTTTCTTCTTCTGTAGGGGACTTAAACGCTGATGCTTTAGTGAGTTGGGCCCTTGCCCACTTCAAGGTGCTGAGCTGGGCCCTAACGGACAAGAATTTTGACAAACTGACAGCAGGGACCAAGGACCTGGACTCCACGGTGCGGTGGCTCGTCCATTTGTAAGTTCCTGGGAAACACAGGCGGTTGGCTTGCGAAACGGCACTATGGACTGAACACTTCTTGGCATCTAAAATCACTCGCTCAGTACAACACAACGATGTCTTGCACTACTGAAGAAATAAGATAATGGACAGCAAATTCGTTGTCAGGTCTTATGAAAGCTTAAAATCAACCGTTTGGTTTCTAGAAAAACCAATTTTAGCATATCGCGTTTAAGGTACTTCATTCTTAGATTTTTAACATTGATTTCGTTTTCAAAAACCAGCTGTGATGTGGACGCGGTGGGCTGCGATGGATTCATGGCGACATGGGAGAGTGCAGCATCCAGGTTTGTGACCTTCGTAATGATAGCGCCAAAGTCATCTTTACGACTCCATTAACTTCCCTCCGGGCACGCCCCAAATGGTTCACCAAGTACCGGTATACTTATTCTCTCCTAGACCACCTCGATCAGGTTTTTGTTCGACTAGTAATGGCAAAAAGGATTGATGGAGAACCTACAGCCAACTCTACTGAACACAGCAAATACACTTCAAAAGTCATGTCGAATTTCATTTCATTTGTGGTCATTTTATCGAAGGTTGAAAGATCAGGTCGAGTTTGGATACGTTGACGTAGGGGTTGAGGCTGGCCTTGTGAAGCAGTTTAACGTGGATCTGGACAACCTACCGGCTGTCGTCCTGTAAGTATGAGGAGTTTTTGGTTTTGTTATACGTCTTTGGGTCAACTTTTCAAGTTTGACTTCATATTTCTGTTATCTTTCAACGGATTCTGTGTATTGCCGCTTATTTTGCAGCCTAAAGCAGGGCCAAGCATACTGGTGCACGCTTCCGCTCATCGAACTGACAACTGATAGCATCGTGCACTTCGTTAAGGAAGGATACAAGAAGATCGAAGAAGAACACATGCCAGCTAAACTAAGCACATTGTAAGTTCATTACATCAACTTGCAGAGACAAACTTAATGTAACCGCTGCACGCACAAGCCAAATGGGCAAATGCATGTTTTGCATGTTACAAAACGTGTGTTGCCGGCCACAAGCTCATCTGATACAAGAACTGATTCAAGGCCCGACTGATTTGTCACAAGGAGTATGCTATCTTTACAGTATGGCGTTGTTTGTGAAAATAACCTACCAGTTAAAACAGAAGTTTTGTTCGTTGTTTAAAGGTCGTCTAAGGAAAAGAGATAAAAAAGTTGATAATTAAGTTGCATTGAATTGGATTTCTTATTTAGTAACAGTAACACGCCACTGTCACGCGAATGCGGCTCAGAGAAGCCATTTCCCTTTCAGACAAGGAGGTCTGAGACTAGAATTTAAATTCCCGATTCCCATTTTTTTTTTTGCAGAATGACACTAATGGTTAAAGTTGGTGCTAATACTAAGGTGAGAATACTGCTGAAAATAACCTTAACATTAAATAAAGGATCAATGAATCGATGCCTAAAGTTGACATTAAAATACAGGAACGGTCAAAGTACAAATAACTGGGCTGCATGTGTTGGCATTTGGTAGAACAAGTTGAAATTATGAGTAGACTTCATTGCAGTCGTTAAATAGTTTAGTGGAAAGTCACGGAATACATTGCTGGGAGAAGTAGCTAAGGAGACAGAGATGCTACCAGAAGAATCAAGCACCAATGTTTCTCTTAAGTAACAGAAGATAGTGAATTGATAATGACGAACAAATCCAGAAGAACGTCAAAATACAATCATACAATCCTCCATCCCTGACACGTGAGCTAGGCTGAAGGTCAGAACAAAATGTTGGCGAACACGAAACTAATGCAATTTCTTTCAACCCCTAAAACTAGCCTCTTTTTCTGGCAATTTCCAAACCACAGGGCATTGGCATCATGCTGGTCGCAACTGCTATACTTCTGTACGTCATCTACATCTGCTTCTGTCGGAAGCGGCCACTCCCGGATGTTGGCAAGGAAAAGGGAGTTTAACACAGACTGAAGGGGGAGGGGCGGACCCAGGACGACCATTTTTTTTTAGGAGGGGGATTTTTTCGGGGGCAGCCAAAAACTTGCTCATACTTCTATATGGCCTTTCTATGGGGTACGAGTACTTTGGGGCTTTTATTACACGTTTGGAAGGAAATTAAATAAAAGTCCCAAACAACTGCCTTTGGGCAAGTATTATCCCCCACAAAAGCCCCGTTTCCCCCTCCTGGATCCGCCCTTGGTCCTGAAAGTAACTCTTAGGTGGGGCCGGTGGTGGGGGCTTGGAAAGATAAAACAAAATGAAGAGGCGGCGAATAGCAGTTCGATAATCTAATGACAACACAAAGTGCTTACACTGTTGGAATATCAACAATGAAAATCGAGACCAGGAAGACAAAGAAACCAGCTCCACACCTGTATAGTTTTAATAAGTATTCCTCTGAACCTTTATTTTACATGTTCTATTGTGTTAGGTTTCAAACCCGAAAAGTACACCTTTGTATCTCAGTTACAGTGCTTATAGAAAAGTTGTAGTTCCACAGTGGAGTTATTACAATATTGTAATAACTTACAATATTGTAGAAATGAAGTTATCCTTGACATGTGACATTCAATGATGAAGAGTTCCATGGCTAATTTACTCAGTACTATTTTATAATTTAGAATTACATTATTTACACATTGGTTAATTATATATGCATGCATATCACAAGGCGGCAAATTAACACAGTTCAATATTTGGCTTTTTTTTTATTTTACCCCATTTTGTACAGTAGCCAATATATTCAGAAAAATAACTCTCAAATAAGTTTGAAAAATAAATCATGCTTTTGTATTTCTAGTGCATTACACATCGCCACAAAAGCTCTAACTTTGCATAAACAGACATTAATTAATTATCCATCAACGGGTTTCTTAAATTTTAATTAAGGTATAGCTGATATGCTTAATGAACTCGTCCGTTTACATACATTGGCCACAAGGGGTGCGGGTGCTAATTTTGTCAAGCAGCTACAAGCACACAGCAGTACTAATATTGTGCCCCATGAAGCCAGTGACACAAAATGCAGACCTTGGTTCTTTTCTCAATTTAATCTTGGCTTACCATTTAACACAAGCACTTAAACCTGAACGTCAGCCTATTCCTCCACCTGCACACATTGTAAGTCCTAAGTACCCTTCCCATACCACTGAATTCCCGCTGCTCTTCATTGATTAATAATTAAAAACCCTACATCACGTGTTTCTTTTACAATACTAACTTTCACTCATCGTGACCTGTCCCCCGACAACGGCAGAAAAGTAAAAAATACACCAAGTTTTGAGATGATAATGTTCTTGCAATAATAATGTGAGTTAATCGGTGAGTTAATTTTTAAAATCTGACGATTTTGAGTTTAAAGTTGCTTTTAGACTTTCATCTGAAAAGGGACCCATTTTATGAAAACTAATCACCTCTTTCCGGAGAAGTGTCGCAAAATAAAAGAGTTATCAGAAGTTACACATACAGTCTTATGAAATGAGTCTTTTAACATTTTACAATGAATACTTCACTGGATTATCTCATATTACTGAAAGTGAATCAACCGACACATTTTAATACAGTTCCATGTTTTAATCTGATAAAAATCAACTTAAAAATGTAATTCAAGAAACGGAAGGCGTATTTCCTTATGGTTAGTCAAATTTAAGCAGACACTTAATTGGAGTAAAGCCAATTTCAAAAAGAGTTTTAAAAACAGAAAAAAAGACTTATCTCTGTAAGAAGCATTTAACAATTTGGAGCTGAAATTTACAGTGTCACCCTGCTACCAACAAAGGTTTGACGAATCCCTAAACAACATGGAAGAAGACCAAAGTTTCTCATTCAGGCAGGCTCCTACTCGGGCATGTCATTCAAAAACCTAAGAAAGTAACATTGCGTAGATCAAATGAATCTGATACGTGTACCCTGACAAATTTTCTAACAGAAACTTTGTATGTACATTATCACATGTGTGTAAACAGGCTTCTTTGGTACGAAGACAAATGCAAGCAAAAAGTACTGTTACAATCAAGATGTGAAATAAAGTACAAGAGGGCATGTTAATACCGCTTACGGCACAATACCCGTGCATGTAGTACACAAATATTAATTTCCACAGGGTTCTAAATTGACAACAATGACCTTTTCAATCAATCAAGACAACAGAAATTTTGTGCGGTAGCCATCTTGTCGGGCAGCTCTTTTGTACCACAAGGAAACCTCCTTTGTACATATACCCTGTGGAACAGAAGCACTGGCCTTTAAGATGGCGGCCATGTGAGCCCTCCATACACACTGGTAGCTTAAATTGTGACATTCTAGGATGGCATGGAGGATCCATGCACTGGTCTGGAATTATCACAACTTCTGGTGGATGCAAAAAAGCACGAGTTGAAACTACTATACATAATTTCCTGCCTAAACATTAGCATGGATACGTATATCTGTCTGCTCAAAGCAGAATTTTTTTTATATTTCTCAAACTTTTTTTGCTGATTTAAATAATATTAGTGGCTGCAACGTTCCTTCCTTAAGAAAACTTAAGAAAAAGTTTTGAATACATAAATTAGTCAACCCTGTACATGCAAGGTAAAATACCAGCATTTTTTAACAGATTCTAGCTTCTAAGGGAGACATGAAATTCAAACATGAATGTAAAAGGTTGAATTGCTGCTGTCAGATACCCCTCCCCCCAAGAAAATAAATCAGTGCAACTGATTAAAGGAATGTGTTAGGGAACTTTTACATGTTTTAAGCAATGTTAAAACAGAGTATAGATGGTTCATGTGAACACAATTACATTGTGCAAAGAAAACATTTAAACATGTAACAATGAACTTGGGAGAAGCCGTCTTGTTAGGGCAACTGCTCCCCATAATGGCTATGGTACCCTTTACAAAAGGGGGGAGGGAGATATCAGAAAACATGCAAGAATATTTAAGAGATGTAACTACGTGTGCCTACATGTAAGCATACAATGTTTGCTGAGCTGTTGGGAAGAGTTGATTCTGCCATGACCTATGGTTATTCTTAATCTTGAGTTGTGCCAGGTACAACTTACAGATCAGAATTGGGAGTTGATTAGGGGCATCGTATTCAGATGCGTATACACCTTTCCTGAAGGAAAACAATTTCGTGTCCCTATGGTTGCTTCTAGTTCATTTCAATTTGGGTACACAAATGTCATGCCATCTGGGTCAACACAGATAAATTATAAATTATTTCAAACGACCAAAGAAAACATTTTGATGCAAGCCTCCTGGAAATGGAAGTACAATCAAGCATGCCACATCATTTTTAAAACAAGTCTAACCAGCATTAAACAAGAAATTGCAAATGCTCATGAAAATATTTTCATGCGACAAGCACTCTACTGTTATGGCAATCAAATTACAATGTTCAATTTTCTTTCAGAAAAAGTGTATGTTGTAACCATTATTTTCCTAATGAGAAAAATGGTCACATGTTCTTGATACTTTATACCGACATCCAATTAAATATTACACCAGAGTCAATGAAAGAATTGGAATTTTTGCAATAGAAAATCAAGAATACCGACCATAAATTTGCACTTGTGAAAAAATATACAGAAAGACCAGCAAGTTGTACCACTGAAGATTTAAATAAATAAATAAACATATCTACTGTTACTGGTAATTTTTTTCAAATCAACAGGAATGAAGAGGAATGATTATATTGAATACCGCTTTGAGAAAACAGGTTTTAAATTATGGAGATTCTCACACCATGAAGAACATTTCCCCTTTCCCTGTATATTGTTGGCTTCTTAATAATAATACATGTACAAATTTGTATATTGTCACAATCTCACTGAAAAGAGTAATTCGCCCGAATTCGCTCGAGTTCCCGCACAACAGACTACTGCTGGACTGAACAAGTTTATTTGCAAGCAGCCCGAGTGCACTAAATGTTACCAACTACACTGAGGAAGGGATAATAAAGCAAGGAGGCATTTCCTGTCAGCACACCGATTTACTTGGTATGGCGTGCCATTGGTACAAAAAACACTGCTATTACTTGACGAAAGTTGGCCAACTATGTACAGGCGAGCACTTGGAAAGAACATCCCACTCTTCTAAAAATGTCATGACAATGGAGAAATTATGTAACGTGGTTGTTTCTGAAAAAAATTCTTTTCTTTGCTCCTTTAGCAAGCTACAATGTACACCTATGTTCATGTTCTGTCCTTGAATCAAGACTAGAAAACAGAGCAAATTGCAAAGTAGACATGGTAGAAAATGAAAACTACAGTAAATCTGCATATTTGGTGGGAAAATTAATAACACTGGAACACAGAAATCACAAGACTGATTTGTGATTTTTGAGATTTCATGTCTGTGATTTAAAATAAATGAGATCACTAAAAGGTGTTCTGCTACCATTGCTAGGGAATTTTAATTATGAGACAAGGGTTCCCAGTTGAGTTGATTGAACCAAACCTTTAATTTTGATGGCCCAATTTTGTGTACAAATTCATTCTTAACTTGATAAGGCGTTTCACAATGGCTCAAAGCATGCATTGCTATTTTTTGGCAAGTTGCAAATGCAACCCAAAAATGTAAAGCTACATGTGCCAGCAACACAAAAAGCATACATTCCAAACAGACTACATGTAATTAACTGAAATGTTGCACAGTAACACATTGCAAGGTCGACTATAAAACATATATTTTTTAACCAAATTAATTTGTTTTGTCCTAAAAATACTTCTTTTGAACTCGGCCAAGTCTTTTCGCCCCTTCATTTGTTTGTTTAATCCAGTCAGGCAATATAAGGCATATACTGGCCAGCTCTAACTCTGTACACCTACGTATAACTATACTATGCACACCTTCAAAAAAAAAGGAGTTAAGCAGAAAATAGGGATTTGTCAAAGGCTGTCTTTTGTAAATATCTAGTTCCATCCATCTGGTCAGAATGGCACTGTCTTTTGACCCACTATGCTACATTCTGTCTCAAAAAATAGTCTAAACAAGAAAGTGCACCTTATTTCAAACTTTAACAAAATAATGCGATGCACTTCAGGCTGTTTACAGTAACATTTAACTAAAGATGTGTGGCACACTCCAACATGTACTGTATGCTACAGTTCCTCCACAGCATTGACATCTACTGCCGTATGATCTTCAGGCAAACTTGAATTCTCAGTTCTGATTGGTCGATCCATTGCAACAAACAGTGTGATGCTAGTATACAACCGTATTGCACGGTTCAGATCATATGTACATGTACCTACTGTACATAATACACTGTTCTAACTCGATGCACTGCGCTATTTTTACGCTAAAAGCAAACACACATCTGCATGATTGTAAATTCAAAAGTAATGTGTTTGCATGTGCTAATCGTCACGTGTTTAAATGCACGTTCAATTCTAACAATTTCCTTGTAAGCCCTGTAGCTATTGTTGTTATTGAAACAAGTTCAAACACAAATAATTCCAATGCTCCCTTGATAAAATTGCAGAATTGTGGTACATCATTGTTACTGTTTTTTGCTGTGCGCCTTATGAGATCTTTTGTGTCCCACATGGCCGACACAGACTTACTACATTATTCCGTGTTCCACTCGCACCCATGTGATAACTAATAATATCTCATCACAAATTGCCACGTGTGTATACATGTAAGCCTATATGAGACCTAGGAACCCTACTCCTGCTTGGTTCTTGCCTTGGTCATCTTTTCACCGTACTGTGCATTTAAATTTACTGCTGCAAGGAATGGAAATATATGTCTCTTGAACTGAACTGGATTGAATTAAACCCTACATCATCCACTGCATACACGTGTAAAGCAGGATCTCTAGCTCGTCAAAGGACTTCCACATGCTTCAAATAAGTAGTCTTAAATAACAATAGTGGCATGGTGGATTATATCCCTATGCTGTATACTGCAGGAATACCTTTGGTGCGACTACGGATGCCATGACCAACAGGTGCAAAAAAAAAATGGCTAGGACTGCAGCGCTATGTTTCAAATGACAGTGGGTGATGACATGCTCTTCAGCTCCCTTCCAGCACTGCACAGACACTACCGAGCTCTTGTGTTCATGTCCTTTGTAAAAGCCCTTGTTCGCGCGACATCAAAGCGCTAGAGGTCTTTTCGTTTGCGAGAAGAGAATTTTTTCGGTGGTACAGTGTATAAACTGAAAACCTTATCTTACTGACTAGGCCAAACATTCCAAAGACATATTTACACAAATTTGCTCCCTTTCTAACCCTAAGTGAATAAATTCTCTTCTACAGCCACTACCGGAATATACATGTACAGTACATGTATGTACCGTAGGCTATATTCTATGTTATTTTTTTTACAGTAGGTTAACATAATATCTAACTGACAAGAGTTTAAGGTTGGCTTTCATTGTGATAATGTGTATCCAAGAAATTTAGACCAGTGAAGTTGTGCTGAAGAACTATTCAGTCTAAATGTTTCGTGCTGTGAAAAACAACACACTGCTAATCATTCAGGATAATCTATCAGTGGGAAGAGCAACCTGACTGGCTCTCAGGCATCAGCGAAGACAAAGAAAATAAATGTGAACCATTCACTGGGCTGGGAGAGATGCACTAGTTGTCCAAACATAAGAGAAAAACATGACCCCAACATGGTTCCACAATCAAACACTTCCATTAGCTTTTCTGCTCCCCGAAATGCGTCAAAAACATGAGCTCAGCCTGTACCCGGTGCACGTACCTAACAAGCGCAGCCGCTCTTCCCCTCGCTCGCCTCGTCTACCTCCATGGGCAGGCCGCGGCCGTTGCCGTGGGCGACCACCGCACCAGGGAACTGGCTCTTGTCCACGCTGCGCTCCATGCGCAGCATGACGTTGTCCAGCAGGCACTCGATGGCTTTACTGATATTGTTGCCCGTCTTGGCACTCGTCTCGAAGTAAGGCAACCTGTGGACAGGTAACATTATAGTGAGAAGTGGCTCAGCAGGTATGTCCCCCCCCATCAATACAGATCGCTAGCCTAAGCTCAAAGAACCACCTGTGCTGCAAATTTGCTTCTCTTTTTGTGCAGGTGAGAAATAATGCTATGAGTAGGTTTCTTTATTCCTATGTATTCAAGCTGACAGAGCTTCGAATAGGTTCCATACTGCTTGTCCAGTGAGGCCTGCCCAGCCTGTCAGATGATACCAACAGAGCCAACCAACAAACCTGTCAGAAAAACCAACCTTGCAAGATTATTGTAGACTATACAGTACATTATACATGTATATGAGTACCTGTACATTTGTACATGTACCTTGATCAAATGGGCAAGATATGGGATATATCCATTAATTGTAATCCAATCCCATTGCCAAAGGCAGAGTGCAATGTGTGTGATAAAGGTGAGACCAGGTACATGTATGGAACAAGGGACGAATGAAATGAATCTGTTTCATTATGAGAAATGGGGAAATCTGATGAGAAAATTGGCCCATCAGTGTCCAACAACCTGGTGTTGCCTTAATGAGTTACCCCGTACCTGTTGTGAGACAAAGAAAATGCGTGTCCATGTACATGTATCACATACAGTAGGATATTTCAATATCCAACCAGATTCTCGTTAAGCTCACTATTTTAGTAATCTTTTGTCTTTAGGAACATGTATTCATTTTATGAGTTACTTTGATTTTTCTAGTGAAAGACTTCATTCCACGATTCTGGAGAGCAAATTTGCTTTAAAACTTTTTTTGTGTTAGCAAAGTATGTGTAGCAATCTATTAGTCAGTCTTTTATTGAAAATTCAAAATATGTTAAACACTAATAATTAATAACTTCCAACTTGATGCAAAATGACCTAAAGTAATAAAATGGGACAAGACATTACCAGGATTTTTCCTAGCAATCAACCCAGAGAATCACTCTAAGTTGGCATCATATCTGTTTTAAAACTTTCCATGGAAATCAAAATCTGTAAAGAAGCACGACAAATTAATTAACTACCGGTATTACAAATAACCAACTGACAAGTTCATTAAAGCTAACATGATCAAAGCATTGTACTGATCACCTCAGAGTCAGTTCGGTATTTCATAAAGGCAAGGTCTTTCGGGAACAAAGCACACGCGTTCAATGTAAGTCTGCCTATGGCTGTACTGACATGACAGACTACTGCATGGAACTGTTGTTGTTCCTAAATAGCCTTGGATGCACTTCAGTTTGGGCATGGGCTGTTGGAATACTGAACTGGTTCATGCGTCAGCTGTTGCTGGCACTCCCCACAAGCCCAAGCCCATGCGCAACTGTCTGACTATATGGATAATGCAGATCTGTCTGTTTAAATGCCTACTTGGAGCCAGTGCAAAGTGATTCAAGAACTGTTCCACTCTTTAGTGGCCCCGCAGCTGTGCAGAGGCCAAAAAGTGTTTGGTTTCTACATGGTCAGCGCAAGCGCTGCAGTAGCCCCGCGGGTATGCAAAATGACGCGTTTGTTATTCAATATGGAACGATATCTGAAAGCTGCCCAAATTGCTAGATCAACTGGGAATCCTGCCACCGTATCATTTAAAATACATGTTTAGCTTCTATACCCATACAATCGTGTAATAAACGATATCACTGTTTGATGATATGGAAAGATTCCCACCCTAGAGAGGGGACCAGAGGGAAACAGAGTTGGTCTTGTATTTAAAACTTGTAAATGCTCTAAATGTATCTGGGAGCTTTCCTTCTCGCATGCTTTCTTTGGTGTTGATGTTATGATGTTGACTGCATCGTGTGCTGAATACTGAAGACAGTTGCTGAGGTTTTTTCACTGTTAGGCAGTGGCTTCACTGACAAAATGGATCAGAAGGACACATGCTTGTTCTACGCTAGACTAAAGACAAGTTTGAAAGCTGTATCGCACATTGCATCGCTAAATAGTGCCATGCAGTTTTAAAATTGGATTCAAGATTGTTCAAATTGCTAACTGCATGGCCTCCTATTTTCCCACTGCATCTGCATCAATGCAATCTGGAGCTACATGTACCACGATAGAGATCAAAACTGTCGCTGTTCCAAGCCTCCTGGCTACACTTACACGTACATGTAAAAGGCAAAAAATGATTGAGTCTCTAGTTTCCATGGTACCAGGAGACTGGAAATAATCATTTTGCAGCCAGTTGATACTCTTGGATTGACAGAGGCAGGTGGTGGATCAATAGGGGCAAGGAGAGGCATCTCTGATCTTTGCCTTTTTCTTCCCACTGAAATTTTAAAAGGTCATGATGTACTAGGAATTTGTCATGGCATTTTGTACATGCACTTTACTCAAACTCCACAGCCACGTTTTCTGGGAAGTTACATTTAGGCAACAAAACGGATTCCCAACATTATGTTTCTCCCTTTTTTTTCAAATGCTTAGGACTTCCCTTTCGGTTTCTTAACAAAACCGAGACAAACTATCACATTTTACTCTGAAAGAAAATGCATGGCAGGTAGCCAAGAACGATTGTTCATTCAATCAATTTTTCAAACTACTGTAGCAAAGAATTCTTACAAAATTGACAGTGGAACTTCAGAACTCTAGAATCATTTTCCAGTATCCATCGTTTTCTTCCCTGTTGTCCTTTTCCCTGGTGTTATTGTCTGTGACTGTTTCAAAAGTAGGAGTATTAATGTACCATGTATTCACAACAACAGCTCTTGCCGGCAACTTACCCGTACTTTTCTGCCATTTCCTTGGCTCTCTCATCCGAGATGGCTCGATTCTCCTCCAGGTCCGACTTGTTGCCGCATAGCACAATGTCAGGGTTCTCACAGTAGGCGTGCATCTGCAGCTGTGTCATCCAGTTGCGGATGTTGATGAAGGACTGCTCATTAGTGAGGTCAAACAGGAGGAGGAAACCCATGGCGTCGCGGAAGAACGCAGTTGTTAGGCTTCGAAACCTTTGGGGGAGTGGAATGATAGCAGTACAAGAAGGTTTGTCAATTTACATACATTGCACTTTAATAATGTGCTCTATACATGTGTACGTGTAAAATTAGAACTTTGCTCTGTAACAATACACAGTGCTTCAGTACGATAGTTCAATCCTTGGCCATGCTCCGAATGCTCCGGTTACAGCAAAAAAGTCTTGATTATCACTTGATTCCACAAGAGGGTTTTACCAAAATCTCCACCATGTCTCCCAGCTTGGGCTTCATCATTCAATACAACACATGTACTGTACATGATATCAAACATTTTTTTTTATTATGGACTGAACACTATCTCAATAACTCTGGCATCAAAAACAATGTCTAAGACAAAACAGCAGTTATGCAAAACCTTCCAAAACCTTGAAGAATTGGCTTGTACGTACATGTAGTTGAGCTGCACCTGAAGCCTACACTTGACTAGAATATCCTTTTTAAACATTAATGGTGAGACATCATGCTCTTGGACATACATGTAAAACCAAAGTCCCAAAGTCCAACTTTGTGATTCTCTAACCATCAAGATCCCACATGCTGAAGTCTGGCTCAAACTGAAGCTGCATCCGAATCTCTTGTCTAGAGCTACCGGTACATTTACATGTACAAGAAGGACTAGGTCTTCGCTCCATTGGAAATGCATAGAGACGTGCAGACAATAGACCTAGCCGTAGCTCTGGAAGCCCATTTTGGACAAGGCCTACATGTAAGTCCGGATTGAACCTACATGTACATGTATGTATACGTGTATGGTGTACACGTACATGTATTCATCCAGTTTCGGAAAACAAGACAAGTCAATTTTTATAGGCGATGAACATGAGTAATAAACCCCGCAAGTCTATTTCCTCAGGTGGCAACTAATGCATGCCAATCTAACAGGTACAGGGTAATATCCCGTACAACCGCACACAATAAAAGCAATGAGGAATGAAATACTGCCCCCGATAATGTTTGCCCACAGACGAGAGGAATTATTTATTTTAGAGGAAAATAAATTTGATGAGCATGATGAAAGGTGACAAGCACAGACACTTGCAGAATTCCTCACATTGCCTTGTCAAGATCCAGGTTTTATTTTCTTTTAGCAGCATGCACACAAGTATGTCCTGAGTATGAAGTACATGTATACGTGTTAAGTTATAGCACTGGACACTGCATACCGGTACCCAGTACAGTGAAGTGATAGCACTGGACACTGCATACTGGTACCCAGTACAGTAAAGTGATAGCACTGGACACTGCATACTGGTACCCAGTACAGTGAAAAGCGGCGTTGGTGGCACTGGGAGTACTGGTACACATACGGTACATGTACTGGTAGAGTGGCACCATACTGGTAGCTACATGTACATGTACATACGGACTACAACTCACATGCTGAACAATACATGTACATGTACATCAACATATACTGTAGTTACAATAATACAGGGAAAAATTCAATGTTTTTGTGTCCCCAATGTGCTATGTCCCCTCAACACATGTATTCCGAAATTTGTATCCTTGTGGAGATTTGGCTTTGTTCTCCAGTACTAATGCGGTCGCGTGTGAAACAATGTTTTCAAAATGCTCCCATTTCAACATGAATCTCTCACCTGGACTGAAATTTCGACCGAATGTCCCTTGTATGAAACACTTCAATTTGGGATGGATTCTTACGCATTAAAAATTTCTCCTTTTTGAGCAATTTCCAAATATCAGTTTTGTGAAATCCTTGTGGGAACCTATTCACCTTTAGAAATTCCTTGTGGAGACCTATTCAACCCATTCTTCTGGGTCTCCACAAGGCACCATATTTCAGCACATCAGGGACAGTCTCACCTACATGCACTACACTGTATCCCATTACTACACATCTGTAAATGTACCATAGAAGTCTGGCTGGTCCTTTACCCCAGGGTTTTTCTTCCCCCTACTTTTCCTCCAACTTGCCTGTGATTTAGGATTTATCACTGTACTAACCACATTGTATATTCATGAATACAATGCTCAAGTTTAGAATTTATGTACCGCAGCAAAGCCAAAACATGTATACTGTCCATGTGTACTGTACATGTACATGTTACACACTACACTGTACATGGTCTACAGGTGTAACTAGTGTATTACTGACATGACAGACCTGTGTACATGTATGTACATGTACATGTATGTCTGATTTGTTCACTGGTTTGGGGGCCCTGAGTCACTGCACCACGGCCACGGAAGCGGAAGGTGGGAAAGGGAGGACAGTGGCTCCCCTACCCTTTTGGGCGGGAGAGGGATGGCCTCCTACTTTTGCAGGTCCTACCCTGTATAATGGGGTGGGGCTAAATGGATCAGCCAATTAAATGACTGATGCCTGATGGTCTGTCTCCCCCCCCCTTAATTGGAAATTGTTCTGCCATCGGTGCTCTAAGTGTTCAGACAGGATCGTGCTGCTGAAGTTATAGGAGTAAAGACAGAAAGAGGCTCTCTATTTCACTCAAGAAGAATGTGGGGCCGGGTGCAACAAGCATGCTTTACCTGTTGTGTGGAATTTGCATTCAAATATGCGTCTGAAAATTTACTATTTCAGATGTGGGCGTACATGCATACTCACAGGCTTTGAGACATTTACGGGGGTAGTTGCCTTTTCACTCATGAAATACACATATGTACAATTAGATGGATCTGACAAATTTTTCAGATAAGAGTAAAGTGGCCATTCTTTGATACATGTACAATGTAAGTCAGCCAGTTCAGGGTACGTGTAGTGGGCAGTTGATGGGCAAATAGAAAAGATGAAGGGGAACAACCATTCAGGAATTTGTCCAATTCTCTCTCCTTTCTCAGCAGCGCTCACAACTGTTTTCCTGAAACACTGCCAGTCTGTTGCCACATTACAGTACACATGAGAGTCCATGTGCTTACATTTAACTTCATGAGTGTCAGAGCTCCCTCCCATTTCTTGCAACCTTGGACCCACAAATACACGTAACAATGCACGCAAAATAATTAACTGCACAGAAGCCTCTGAATACAGGCACAGTGCAAATTGCTCATCTTGAAAAGGTCCATCTCAATCACGTCAGTCCTTCACATACCCTGGTACCTGTACGGTAACCAGATAGTAATACAGGTGCATGCATCTGTACCTGTCTCCCAACATTAAACCTGCATACAATGTACAATGCATGTACATGTATAATGTACATTTACCAGTACATGTACATGTATGGTATCAGAGCCCACTATCCTTTAATTCCACCGACAGGTTTTGGGAGGATATCTTGTAGAGACTGAAGACTAAGCAGACCCCAGCCACTACCACTGGTAACTTTCAAGGAGGCTGATGTCCTTTGAAAGGTAAACAGACGAAGAATAGGAGCAATGTACATGTACATGTACAGACATTGAAATTTCCAAAATAGTAACATGTACAGTACGGTAGGAATGCTCCACGCCAAGAATTGAGAGAATGAATACAGGTACTTAATTTACAGTTCTCATTTTGTCAACTGCAGTGCTACGGCCGATCACACCACTCCTGAATACCAAGGAAATCTACATACATGTACATGTACATCAAAATTTGGCTGATCGCTTTGTGCAACTATTTAGTGTTTACTCACACCAGATCACTGTTTTCACAAGCTATTCTGCTCCCTGCCCATCTCTGCAGCTAACACTGGCTCAGTCTCCCCTCTTCCCCCTCCCCGCAACCAAATCATAATCTGAGTCCTCGTGCTCCGTCAGACCAATTTCCCAATCGCAACCACTGATCATCAGTTTAGGCTGTCTGTTCCCCGGGGGTGGGGGTGGGGGGAGATGGAGGCTTTGCCACAATTTCAGGTTCCCCCGATTATGTGGAGCTGTATGTACTGCCAGTGAGCATGGCACGGTGATAACATTGTACATGTTCTTGATGCTAGCAATTAACCTTTCCCGCACCAGATGGGGCCCCGTGCGAGAACGACTGCTCGGGGTATTATTTTTCCGCGGCACCGAAATGATGGTGGGAGCTTCAGGCAGTCGGAGACAACTTCAATTTAGAGCTTCGCGAGATTCTTTCATTAGTAATAATGATACAGAATTATAACTGTCGTTGGAGGCTGATCATTCCCTATTCACCTTATTCATGCACTGGGACTACACAGGGACATACATGTATTGTCTGTACGTGAACATGTCCATGCATGCAAATGGAGAACAGCTGCTACAATACTGTTTCAACCCCTCTCCTCTTCGAGCTAGCATTAGTAGGCTCATCTGACAAAGAATTACCGTACATAATGTGCTTTTCTCTCCATGAAATTTAATTGGCCAGAATAATTTCAGAAAATCTTTCCATAATATCTTATGCCTTGAGCTACATGAACAACACTTGTGTATTACATTGGTACAAGTCCGGTTCATATTACATGCAAAGTATGGATACAAACCTGCACCTTGACTAAAGGCTAAGCTCAGGCCTACATGTACACATGTACTTTGGTTCACACTTGTCTTAGAGGCTTCACGAGGTGGACTCAAGATGTTTAAATCTTCTGCCAATTTGCTTTGTGGATAGACACTGTACATGTACTATACATGTACCGGTATGTGCAGTAGATGTACATGTACATGTATGCAAGAACAATTTGGTTGTTAAAATCCTTGAAACAAGGGCGAGATGGGGGATGGTGACTTGAATCGTCCAGCATTGGCGTTGCAACATTTACAAGAGTAAAATATAACTTTACAGCCAGCAAAGCATGAGTGCTTTGAGTAACAAAGTAGTAAAACACAATTGACTAAAAACCCTCTTTGAATCCTGAGGTTTTCAAAAAGATCTGAAAATACAATGTATGATGAGGAGTAACGTGCCTGTTTGCAGAGGACCAGTTTTTCCCAACAGGCAACATTCCAGACCATATGCACCTGAGCTAAATACAGGCTCCTTAGCAGCAAGTATCACATATAATATGGTCGTTGACCTTTTATAAGCACTGGTCACCCGTGGTTTTTGCTTACACCTGTCACTCAGATTATGCCACCTAGCAATATTCACGACACAGGCAGGTGCTACAGATATGACAGGTGGCCTCCTCAGCAAACCATCTTGGCAAAGATTGCCTGTGGGGTCTTGGTAAAGACACCAAGCATAATGAAACAGTGTACGATATCCTGCAGCAGCCCCTCTCCCACAAAGCACTGCATGAATTTTTATAGCCTAAGCCCTCTTAACAACTTGCTCCCCCCCCACTAATTGGTATGCATAGACTTCGGCTGCTCTCATTTCCCGGGTAAGAGTGATTACCTTTCTTGGCCGGCCGTGTCCCACAACTGCAGGTGCACGCGCTGCCCTCTGCTCATGTTGTCTGCGACACCTTTGGGCCTGTGCATCTGTGTGGTAAGACACATATAATAAACACATCGGTGTTATCACATCCATCATTCTGACAAGGGTGCCAAGTACCGGTACAGCAGTGGAACTGAGTTAATACTTCAACCCTTAGAGTCCGGTTCATTAATTTTACAATGTACTTTCTCACAGCCAAAGTGGGAACACTTTGCCTCCTGCAACAGGAAAAGTTGACAATTGGTACGGAAAGAAGGGCAGCAATGCCACCATAGACTGACCCATTTACATGTACATACAGTTCACGTACATGTACATGACGAAAATCCATCCCCCTCCCGGTCCCGTTGCCCATAGATTCAATGGTAAAATGCCAATTTTCATCTGCATGTACTGTATATGTATGTACATGTATTCTACATACGTGTACAGCATGTCAGATTGTAGAATTCAGTATGTGACTCACTCGACTCTCCGCAATTATTTTCACATTACAACAGATTAAGCCATTATTATTCAGCAAAGATGAAGCACACCACTACAAGAACCTAGCAAGATTTAGAATCAGATTAGATTTGTCAATTTAGAATCCACATGCAGGGAAAAAAGATGTTTATTTTCACTGATGTAACAAGGGACGCCGTCACAAACTGTGCCCGTACTTCGAGGAATGACCCATGTACGAAAAATGTACAGGTACCGATACAAGTATGTGTGTAGATTGAGGAGTGCTACAGGCTACGCACAGTACATGTACATGTAGCTGCAGGTGAACTCTTCAGATTTGGGAGCATTTTGGGCCATGGAACCTCTCCTCAGTCGCTGTACAGGTATATCCAAAATAGTGCAGTGCACCCCCTTGAACCATAAAATTAGGATGCACTGCGCTACAGTGTACAAAGTCTACCTGTGGCACTAGTGGGGGATAGAATCATGTACTGGTAGAGATTTAAGGAAGGGTGGGGAAGGCAGACACAAAGTAAAGGTATTCTGCTGTTGGAGTATCGTTACAGTAATGCGAGTATTATACTGGGTACATGTCATTTATTGGTACATGTACACAGTAGTGGTACATGTACATGTACATAATACTGAGAGCACATACCGCATGAACAATATGTACAACGTACATGTACATAAATGAATTACAGTACTTTTGGTCAAGTTGTTTGTTAACCCTAACCCCCCAATGGTTGCTGGCCCTAACCTCCATTCACTGTTGGCTGTTGGACTTT